AATAATAATACAGTGTGTGATCTCCTGTCCCAGCCTGAGGAACAGACAGTGAGCCTGTCTCTCAACAATAATAATACAGTGTGTGTGATCTCCTGTCCCAGCCTGAGGAACGGTGAACCCGTCTCTCAATAATGTAGATCTCCAATAATATGTTTGTACTGTAAGTGCTGTGTTTATTGTATCTGTTTTGGCAACACTGTAACTCAGTGGTCAAGCTAATGAAGCTCTTCAAATCTGAATATGAGTGAGAGAGAGGGAGGGAGTGAGAGAATGGGAGAGTGAGAGAATGAGGGAGAGGGGGAGAGGTGGGAGTGGCACAGCTGGGTGTGTCTGCCAGTCAGTCAGTTGTGGTAGACTGTGCCAGCAACATACCCAGCATGCACTGCAGGCAGGGGGGGGGCAGGAAGGAAGAGAGGGGGCAGACAGGGGCTTCTGATCTCTTGTGTTTCTTGTTTTTTTCCACTCTGACAAGGGAAGTTGCCCAACAGACTGAGCACTGAGGGAGACATTGAATCATAACAGCCATTGTGTCCTTAGAAACGAACACCGACAAACACACACACAAACATACACTGACACATACACGCACAGGCACACACACACACTGACAGATACTGACACAGACACACACAGATAGTGAGAGACACGTACACAATAACAGAGACACACACAGGTACACACACTCACAGATTCATTACACACATGCACCCTGACACACAATGACAGACTGACACACACTGACAGAGTCATGCACTGATCCAGGCGCACACTGACACACTGTGAAGAAGTGTGGTGAAAGACGAGTATCCAGAAAGAGATGGAGAGAAGAAAAAAGAATGAGAGAGAGGAGGCAGGAAGGAGGGGGGGAGTTCAGTGACATGGAGGTGATCCAAGCATCCATCTGTCTTTCATTTACTGGGAACCCTCCTCCCTGCTGTAAGCTAATCTGGTCCTGTACGAGTGCACTGTCCTTTACTGGTCAGTGCAACACAGTGAGACTCAACCGCAGAGCTGCACTGCTAACACCTGGAGAGAGAGGAGAGCTAGAGAGGAGAGAGATGGGAGAGAGAGAGGAGGGAGGGAGGGGAGAGAGAGGAGGGAGGGAGGGGAGAGAGGGAGCAGAGAGGAGAGAGGAGAGAGAGGAGTGAGGGGAGAGAGGGAGCAGAGAGGAGAGGAGGAGAGAGGAGAGAGAGAGAGGAGAGGGGAGAGATGGAGCAGAGAGGAAAGAGAGAAGAGGGAGCAGAGAGCAGAGAGAGAGGCGACGGGAGAGAGAGAGAAGAGGAGAGAGGGAGCAGAGAGGAGAGAGAGAGGAGAGAGGGAGCAGAGAGGAGAGGGGGAGAGGGGAGAGAGAGAAGAGGGAGGGGAGAGAGGGAGCAGAGAGGAGAGAGAGGGGAGAGGGGAGGGGAGACAGAACCAAATCACACTGGAATACACAAAGACAACATTAACTGAAATGCTAAAGAACCCTAAACAGACAATACACACTAGCCAAATATTTGACCAAGGTATGAAAAAGCAAAGAGAAACAGACCCTGACGAAGTCCTGGCTGTGCTCTCACTGCCAGCGGGGAGAAACAGAGACAAAGATTCGCTTTCTACTGCTCTGTGAGAAATAAACTCAGATTAGACAAACATGCTTCTGCAAATTAACTATCTAAACATCGAATCCCAGAATTCCCACAGCTGCCAGAATCAGAACAGCGTCCAATCCTACTGGGAGAGGGAGGAGGGAACTCAGTGAAGGGAGCGTCACAGCTTGAGGAACAGTGAATCTGTCACCAGTAATGGTCTATGTGTTGTTGTATGTTGTATGTAAATGTCCTATGAATGGTTTGTATTGTAAATGTATGCAGATGTTGTATTGACAGTACATGTTTTGGCAACAGGAGAGAGAGGAACCAGCCTCAGGACAGCACTGCTAGAGCACCACGTCTCAGACTCAACCACATCACAGCACAGATCAAACAGCACATTTCTCACACACTGGGACACACACAACACAAACTGGAATGCTACAGAACCCTAAACAGACTATACACACCAGCAGAATATTTGATCAAGGTAAGAAACAGCAAAAAGAAACAGACCCTGATGAAGTACAGGCTCAGTGACCA